CTGTTCATAGTACTAACTCAAAACATTTTCACTAATATTTATTAAGAAGAAATTAGAAATTCGCAAAAACGACTACTTTTAAGCCAAAACGGTGTTCCGCTGTTGCTGCCACCAGACCGAAATCTAAACTGAACACAAGGTATCGAAAGATGTGACCATCGGCCACGGTGCGATTGCAAAATTTATTTTTCATATTTTGGCCAGGAAAATGCAAATTTTCGGCGATAATTTAACAACATTTAAACAAATTGATTTCTTTTTAATAACTTCCTGTTTGTAAAAACACGATTTTCGGTTTAATTAATATATATATCAATACTTACGATATTTAAGCCTTTGAAAGACTCATTCATTTAATAGAACATGATCATCACTTCTTAAACAAACTCGAAAATTAATTAATAGCCCTGCGCATCCACCATTTTTGTTAATAAATGAAAGTTGGTCTAATCGACTGGTACAGAGGTCGTTTAAGTTTGTGTAGACTTTTGGGTATGATTAAAAAATCTATCATCTCACATTTATATCAAAAACTGATATAAATGTGGACTAGAAATAAATAAATAACAATAAAAAAATGAGAGGTTAATTAAGCTAGTATTCAATAGAGGGCGCTGAAATAAACCACAACCTATAGCCCCTAGAAATAGAATGTATTTTCTAGGGGCTATAATTCTTAACTAAAACGTCCAAAATATGATGAGTCAATTATACTTGTGATTTAACATTCCATTCATATTTTTTGGATTTACTTATATATGGTGACTCAAAAAAATTAATGAATGCGTAATCAGGAACTGCAAAACGGAATCCTTTGAAATCTTGGAGATGGTAAATTTTTGGTCAAAATGTATTTGTTTGAGTTATCACTGCATTAATATTTTTTAGATTTGCTTATACAGAATGTCGCAAAAAATTAATGTCTGAGTCAATCTATTTTTTTGATTAAAGTTTTAAAGTTATTGTAAGCATGCTAAATTGTTAATCAAAATATGTCTATAATATAAAATAATGCAAGAACGGGTGGGTGGGCAGGGCTAAGTTTAACTTTTTCCTACAGAATCTTTTATAAGCAAGAAATAGTGCCGCCCACCCACCCCCTCTTCATTCCAGTGATAACTCTTACTATTTGTTCAGTCATTTACCAAAATAAATCTTATTTTAGTAGTAACACCAAGCCGGCGAGTCTCCATATTCGACGTCGAACCAGGGTAACAGACTGTCGAAGAGGTGGCAGAAGTGAGATATGATTGTTCGATTACAGCGCCATCTGTACAGGGACCTCTTCAACTTTCTGTGATCCTGGTCCCTGATTTAAGATCCAAACTCGTCAGCGCATATTTTCCGACTGGAGGTTGATGAGCACACTACAGGCCTCTTCAGAACAATTTGTGTTTTTAATCATTTTGCCCTGTTTTTAAAGGTCTATTTAAAAGTTGATATTTCAAGGATTCTGTCTTGTATTTATGAGGTAGAAGGCATGTTCAGCACAACACTTCAAGTTTAATGATTCTAGAAATCAACCCAGCCCCGTAGCTAGAAAACTTATTCAGGGGGGGGCAAGTCTGTCGACAGAGGGGGCTTCATGTAAATATTTATATTTTAATAATACACTCAGATAACTACTTTATTTTTTCTGAGTTTTTATATTTGAAAGAACATTAAAATAATTGGAAACGTCGATTTTTTACTCTAAATTTTCGTAAAAACCTGTCGAAGTCCAAAAAATTAGTACGGTACTTGGTTAAAATGCTGGTTAAAACAGAGAATGTAGATTCAGAAACAGCTGTACTGCATCCAAAAATTTGTGTAGTGGCCATATAGGTAACATCCAATTTGTTTGAGTTTATTTTTTTGCATGTTTAGTACATATTTTAAAAATCCGACTTCGAAACCAAATATTTCGAAAATTTTGGTACGGAACCATGAACTCGTCATGTTTTTTTAAACTCGTCGAGATCTGTATTTCAGAATTTTTTGTCAACTTTAACAAAAGCTCAATTTTTGGAAACCCATATAAATTTTTTTACTTTTCCTAAGCATTTTCGAATATTACCAAAAGAATTCCTTTGTTCATCTCGATTTCCAAAAATCGTTTTGGATTCAATTTTTTTGAAAATTCTTACATTTTTTCCAGAATCGACGGAAGAAATATGGCAATTTTTGAGAACCTGTATCAAATTTTTGACTTTTTTAAATCACGTTCGAGATTACCAAAAGGGATTCCTTTATTGATTTCGATCTCCAGATGTTGTTTTTGGTTGTTTTTTCGAAAATTCGTACAATTTTTCCATAATCGCCAAAAGAAATATGGTAATTTTTGAGAAATTTTGAAAATTCCAGCTCGAAACCGAGTATTTCGAAAATTTTGATCCGGAACCTTGAACCTGTCATGTTTTTTTAAGCTCGTCGAAATCTATATTTCAGAATTTTTTGTCAACTTTTACGAAAGTTCAATTTTTGAAAACCCATATAAAATTTTTGACTTTTCCCAAGCATTTTCAAAAATTATCAAAAGAGATTCCTTTGTTCATCTCGATTTCCAAAAATTGTTTTGGATTCAATTTTTTTGAAAATTCTTACAATTTTTCCAGAATCGACGGAAGAAATATGGCAATTTTTGAGAACCTGTATCAAATTTTTGACTTTTTTAAATCACGTTCGAGATTACCAAAAGGGATTCCTTTATTGATTTCGATCTCCAGATGTTGTTTTTGGTTGTTTTTTCAAAAATGCGTGCAATTTTTCCACAATCGCCAAAAGAAATATGGTAATTTTTGAGAAATTTTGAAAATTCGAGCTCGAAACCGAGTATTTCGAAAATTTTTATCCGGAACCTTGAACCTGTCATGTTTTTTTAAGCTCGTCGAAATCTATATTTCAGAATTTTTTGTCAACTTTTACGAAAGTTCAATTTTTGAAAACCCATATAAAATTTTTGACTTTTCCCAGGCATTTTCAAAAATTACCGAAAGGGATTCCTTTATTGATTTCGATCTCCAGATGTTGTTTTTGGTTTTATTTGGTTGAAAAGTCGGAAAATTTTTCAGCAATCGCCAAACGAAATGTAATTTTTGAACTTTGAAACCGAATGTTTCGAAAATCTTGATCTGGGACCATCTAGACCTTGTGTTTTTTGATTGAGCTCGTCGAGATCAACATTTCAGATTTTTTTGTGGATTTTTAGTCAACTTCAACAAAAGCTAAATTTTTGAAAATCCATAAAATGTTTTTGACTTTTCCCAAGCGTTTTCGAAAATTAGCAAAAGGGATCTCTTTATCGATTTCGATCTCCAGATGTTGTTTTTGGTTTTATTTTCTCGAAATTTGTACAATTTTTCCAGAGCCCCCAAAAGAAATGTAATTTTTGAGAAATTTTGAAATGTCGACTTTGAAACCGAATTTTTTGAAAATCTTGGTCTGGAACCATCAAGACCTTATGTTTTTGGATTAAGCTCATCGAGATCTACATCTCGGAATTTTTTGTTGATTTTTTGTTAATTTCAACAAAGCTCAATTTTTGAAAATCCATATACATTTTTTGATTCCCAAGCATCTTCGAAAATTAGCAAAAGGGATCTCTTTATTGATTTTGATCTCCAGATGTTATTTTTGGTTATATTTTTTTGATATTTCGTCGAATTTTTCCACAATCGCATAAAGAAATAGCTTTTTTTAAAGTAACTTTTGAGATTTTTTAGAAATTTTAGGTAGAAACCCAATATTTCGTAAATTTTGTTCCGGGAGCATGAACATGTTTTTCGATTAAGCTCATCGAGATCTATATTTCAGAATTTTTTGTCAACTCTAACAAAAGCTCAATTTTTGAAAACTAAATAAATTTTTACTTTTCTTGAGCATTTCCAAAAATTACCAAAAGTCATTCATTTATTTATTTCAATCTGCAGATGTTGTTTTTGGTTTTATTTGATCGAAAATTTGTAAAATTTTTCTAGAATCGTCAAAAGAAATAGGAGTATAATTTTTGAGAAATTTTAAAAAGTCGACTTGGAAACCGAATATTTCGGAAAATCTTCGTCTGGGACCAGCAAGACCTTTTTTTTTGACTAAACTCGTCGAGATCTGCATCTCAGAATTTTTTGTAGATTTTTAGCCAATTTCAACAAAAGCTCAATTTTTGAAAATCTATAAAAAAAAATTGACTTTTCCCACGCATTTTCGAAAACTAGCAGAAGGAATCTTTTTATTGATTTCGATCTCCAAATGTTTTTTTTTGGTTTTATTTTTTCTAAAATTGGTACAATTTTTCCAGAGCCGCCAAAAGAAATGTAATTTTTGAGAAATTTTGAAATGTCGACTTTGAAACCGAATTTTTGAAAAATCTTGGTCTGGGACCATCAAGACCTTATGTTTTTTGATTAAGCTCATCGAGATTTACATCTCAGAATTTTTTGTCGATTTTTTGTCCATTTCAATAAAAGCTCAATTTTTAGAAAATCCATATAATATTTTTGACTTTTCTCAAGTACATAGTAGGCTATGGAATAAAATGTGACATGTTCATTTTTTTATACGGTCAACATCAACGGTAGGGTGATATTGCCAAATAATATACCCTGTAAGAAAATAAAGGGGGGGTGGGTGGGGCCAGTTAATATGCTTCGGCAATCGGCATTATATTGAAATTTTATTACTAATTTGAAATTTATAATGTATAAGTCTTCCAGGGGGGGCAACCAGAACTGCTAGGGGGGGCGCAGCCCCCTCTTGCCCCCCCGTAGCTACGGGACTGAATCAACCCATTGAATAAAATTCGGGCGAAGCCCTCATGAGCGAAGCGAATTTTAATAAAAAATTAAACATATAAGACCCCTTTAGAACAATTGGTTTTTTTAAGCATTTTGACTTTGTTTTCAAAGGTATTTACGTTAAGCTTTTACAGAGAATTAATTAAACGAGTGACACTCAAAGAAAGAAAAAAATTACTTTCTTTGTACGTATTTTTAGAAATATTAGGAAAATACAACCACAGGTTTTTTTTATAATTATATTGACAAAATACATCTGTAACAATATATGTACAAATAACAACGAATTTTCTACCTATCACAATTTAAATTGCACTTTAACCACCAATGACACTTCGGTCCCGCACCACGTGTCTCCAACACTCAACTCTCATTGGCTCCCCACCCCACCTCAATCCTTCTTTATTTCGCGCCCGTGTTTAAACTTCATCTTAAACGAAACAACAGTCCCTATCAACGGGGGCACTGCCGCAAACAACATCGCCACGTGGCCCCCAAACGTGTCAGTAACCAGTCCCGAAGTCACCGGGGTCACAAACCTCGCAATCGACATAATACTGTTCGAAGTCCCTGACAGAGACCCCCTATGATCACCCGTTGCTTTCTTCAACATCAACTCCATACTCACAATCCTCAAAATCGTGCAACTCAGCGAAAACGGAATTAACACTACTAAAAACAACTGAATATTCGGGGCTAAATATAAACTAACTAGACTTAGAGTCATTAACAGAAAACAGTGCGTCAGACGCCTCAAACAAGAAGTGTCGTCTTTGTAGAAGCTTCCAGTGATGGAGTCCAGGAGGAAAGCGGACGCCATCCCCGTGGCACTGAAATAGGAAATCGTGTACCCCACATGGCGCTGAGACAAGTTGAACTGTTCTCGTAAATATGTGGCTTGTTGCGAAAAATACATAGTCACGGCGAACCCGAAAATAAATCTTAGAAAGAAGACTTCCCACAGGGAGGTCCAGTTGATGTCAGTCATATCTGTGACGGATTTGGTGAACTCGGTACGGAAGCGAGACACAATGGAGTCGTTTTGGGGGGTTTGAGTCCGTGCTTTTTTCGTGTTGGTTATCACAGAAGTCAAAACTATATTGATTATGAAGAGGAGACAAGTTAACGCACACACGTACGTAAAACCGTTGGTCATTTCAGACAAGTGTCCCCCCAGAGTGGGTCCTATAATGAACCCCAACGAACTAAAGGCAGTGGACTTGCCAAAAGCGCTAGCTCTTTGGCTTACTGGGAGCAAATCGGTGATGATTGCTTTGCAAATACTTTGGGTGTGCTTGGTGACACCTAGTATGAAACGTATTACTGCTACACACACAAGAGAATTTGTTAATCCTAGTAGCATGTACCCCACACTGCAAAAAAATAGTGTGACAATTAGGACGGTTTTTCGGTCCCGTACATCGCTCCAGCTCCCCTACAAAAACAATTTTAGCGTCAATGCAGCCACGTCTCTGTTGGTAATACCACAACAGGCCCTGAGACAACCTGGAGTCCAGAATATAACGAATTGAGCAGTCCTATTGTGAAATGCGAAGCGCCGAGTTCTCGCAGGTGGTTGCTGAACAACGGCACCGTGAGCCCCACGGCGAACAAGTCCTAAAATCATCACTTTAGTACAAAACTTACTTCAGTCAAGGGTTACCACCATAAAAGAAATGACGTAGACCAGATTTAAGTCTCTATTTTGTTTAACCATTTTTAATACTGTGTTTTGAATTTGGGAATGTGAAGGCCGCGGGTTTGAGCGATAGTTCGTGTCATTACATTTAAGTGTAGATTAACATAGTTAATAGTCGTTAACGCGTTTGATAAACTATGTTTATCTAATCACTGTGGTACTCCACATGTTATGCAACTGTGAGTTGTCGTTTTCAAGTCTAAACGGGGGTCTGAATTAAACAATACGCACTTAACAAGTTAATAAAAATAAATAAATAAAACATGGTTTAGTTTGAGGTTATAAAGGTTATGTCAAAGTCAGGGGTGTGTAGGCAACCATACATACACAGCGACATCAACGTTGCATAAAGGTTAGAATGTCAAATCGAAATAGGACGAAAGTCATTGACGGCGTGAAAGGGGGGTAAATACAAATTTAGTGAAAATTTTGACACAACTGACGTTTCTTTCTCACGAAGTTTCGTCTGCAATGTTGTTTTTTAATAGTTTTCATTAAAATTTAAGATGGCCGCTAATTCAAAGGTGCCAATCAATCAAGCGAAAATTGTAATACCGGGTTACTAACAACTGAAGCAAATTTTTGTGTTGGCAGTTCTGAATTATTGGCATCCATGCTAGTACGCCGCTTCCCAGTTGTCAATTTTGACATAGCACACTTGACAAATGTGGTAATTGATTGAGAGTTGAGGCGATAGCAAGTATCATAAATGTCACCTTGACAATAAAATATGCTGTCATAAATTTTTTAAATAGCTTGCCAACCTGACAAAAACATTACTTACATTGACAAATGCCATATATTCATGCGTCCATGGTCCACAGTCAAATTTAAGTTGGCAACAATGAATCGATCTTTAAAAATTTCCCTAGTGTAAACGTCAGTGTTGCATGATGAAGAATATAGGCGATTTTTTGTCTTTGTTCAATGTAATCTGTAAATATGGTTTCTAGTGAGCTCATTGGGAACTTTTCTTGCGTTTATGTTGTCATAATTGTGTGACAGATGTCAACAGCATACCAATTTCAACTAAAAGCGCAGGATTGCCAACAGACTCAGACAGACGTGATAGTTACTAGTGTCATTGTAAGCTGCCATTAATGTCACTTATTTTACATAAATAAGTGATATTAGTGCTACATGCAAATTTTGAACCCCATTGCCAACCTAACTGCACTCGGACTGGACCGACTATATTAGTTTTACAGTGTACGTACTATACAGGGTCATCAAAACTGATTGAGAGAGTTGGTAATCCGGAACTAGAATAATTTGCTTTGTTAAGTTGGCGGAAAATATTAGCTGCTAGATTTGAAGTTTCAAATTTCAAAAATAAAACGCAATGGCGCCTTTTTTTAGATTTTGTGGTTGGCAAAAAATACAGCTTGATCCACACGTGCTGTTTGAGTTGGCAATAAACCTTGACAATCAAGTATGCTATCATAAAATTTTAAATACGTTGCCAACCTGACAAAAAAAATCACAAACAGGGACAAATACCATATATTCATTCGTCCACGGTTCACACTCAAATTTAAGTTGGCAACAACGAATCTTTTAAATCAGGCTATACATTAGACTCTTTGCAATCGATCTTTAAAAATTTTCCTAGTGTAAATCTCAGTGTTGCATGATGAAGAATATAGCCGATTTTTTGTCTTTGTTCAATGTAATGTGTAAATATGTTTCCTAGTGACATTCGTGAGCTCATTGTGAACTTTTCTTGCGTTTATGTTGTCATAACTGTGTGACAGATAAGTCAATCGTGACATGCGATAAATTTAGGTTATGTTTTGGACACATTTGCAACCTACAAATGTCAACAATCTGTCAATCGTGGCAGCCGATAACCGGAAATTATAGAAAACAGCGTACCAATTTCAACTAAAAGTGCAGGATTGCCAACAGACTCAGACAGACGTGATAGTTACTAGTGTCATTGTAAGCTGCCATTAATGTCACTTATTTTACACAAATAAATGATTTTAGTGCTACATGCAAATTTTGAACCGCATTGCCAACCTAACTGCACTCGGACTGGACCGACTATATTAGTTTTAGAGTGTACGTACTATACAGGGTCATCAAAACTGATTGAGAGAGTTGGTAATCCGGAACTAGAATAATTTGCTTTGTTAAGTTGGGGGAAAATACTAGCTGCTAGATTTGAAGTTTCAAATTTCAAAAATAAAACGCATTTTTTTATGTTTTTTTAGATTTTTTGGTTGGCAAAAAATACAGCTTGATCCACAAGTGCTGTTTGAGTTGGCAATAAACCTTGACAATCAAGTATGCTATCATAAAATTTTAAATACGTTGCCAACCTGACAAAAAAATCACAAACATGGACAAATACCATATATTCATTCGTCCACGGTTCACACTCAAATTTAAGTTGGCAACAACGAATCTTTTAAATCAGACACCACATTTGACTCTTTGCAATCGATCTTTAAAAATTTCCCTAGTGTAAACCTCAGTGTTGCATGATGAAGAACATAGCCGATTTTTTGTTTTTGTTCAATGTAATGTGTAAATATGGTTTCTAGTGATATTCGTGAGGTCATTGTGAACTTTTTTTGCGTTGATCTTGCCATAATTGTGTGACAGATAAGTCAATCGTGACATGCGATAAATTTAGGTTATGTTTTGGACACATTTGTAACTTACAAATGTCAACAATCTGTCAATCGTGGCAGTCGATAACCGGAAATTATAGAAAACAGGGTACCAATTTCAACTAAAAGTGCAGGATTGCCAACAGACTCAGACAGACGTAATTGTTACTAGTGTCATTGTAAGCTGCCATTAATGTCACTTATTTTACATAAATAAATGACATTAGTGCTACATGCAAATTTTGAACCGCATTGCCAACCTAACTGCACTCGGACTGGACCGACTATATTAGTTTTACAGTGTACGTACTATACAGGGTCATCAAAACTGATTGAGAGAGTTGGTAATCCTGAACTAGAATAATTTGCTTTGTTAAGTTGGCGGAAAATATTAGCTGCCAGATTTGAAGTTTCAGATTTCAAAAATAAAACGCAATTTTTTTTATTTTTTTAGATTTTTTGGTTGGCAAAAAATACAGCTTGATCCACAAGTGCTGTTTGAGTCGGCAATAAACCTTGACAATCAAGTATAGTATCATAAAATTTTAAATACGTTGCCAACCTGACAAAAAATCAGAAACATGGACAAATACCATATATTCATTCGTCCACGGTTCACACTCAAATTTAAGTTGGCAACAATGAATCTTTTAAAACAGGCACCACATTCGACTCTTTGCAATCGATCTTTAAAAATTTTCCTAGTGTAAAAAATTAAAAAAACAAAAAACCATAGAAATGCAAGAAACCCAAGTTAGAAATCTAATAATCAAACAAATTGCAAATCTCTAGAAATTTCAAAAAATCCAAGAAACTCAAGAAAGTCAGAAAACTCAGGAAATTCAATAATTCAAAAATTCAAAAAAATCCAAAGTATCCCAAAAATCCAAACGACCCAAAAGACCCAAACAATTCCAATGGAATCGAAAAACCCAAGAACATAAAAAAATCCAACAAACCTGAAAAAAACCAAATAAAAAAAAATACAAAAAATTAAAAAGTCCAAAATTCAAAACTTGAAAAAATGTAAAAAATCAAAAAAGTAACAGAAAATTGCAAAAATGAAAATGAAAGTATTATTCTAAATCCAAAAATTTTAAAAAATCTCAAAAATTAAAAAAGTAAAATCAAAAAACCCAAGAAATGCAAGAAACCCACGAAACTCAAGATTTCCAATGATCCAATAACTCGGAAATATCTAAAAATTTACAAAATCCAATAAGTCTATAAAAACCAAGAAACTTAAGAAACTCACAAAACTCAGGAAAACCAACAATTCCGAAATTCCAAAAATTCCAAGAATCTTAAAATAAAATAAATGAAAAATAACAACTATTCAAAAAAATCCAAAAAATTGAATAAGTCCAAAAACTCAAAAAAATTTTCACAATATCAAAAAGATCCGAATGATCCAAAAGACCCAAAAAATTCCAATGGAATCCAAAAAACCCAACAACAAAAAAAAATAAAAAATCCTAATAAATCTAAAAAATTCAAAAGGATCCAGAAGAATTCAAAAGAATATAAAATACCCCAACAAAATCCAACACCAAAAAAATTAAAAAAATCCACAAAATCAAAAAAAATCATAAAAAAATAAAAAAATTCAAAAAATCCAAAAAATGAAAATACCCAAAATACAAAAAATAAAAAAATTTAAACATCTCACTAACAAAATCTAAAAAATTGAAAAAATTCAAAAAAATCTAAAAATTCAATGAATTAAAATCCAATAAGTCTATAAAAACAAAGAAACTCAAGAAACTCATAAAACTCAGGAAAACCAACAATTCCAAAAATCCAATAAATCGACAATATCCCCAAAATCCAAAAATTCCAAGAATCATGAAATAAAATAAGTAAAAAATAACAACTGTTCAAAAAAATCCAAAAAATTGAACAATTCCAAAAACTCTAGAAAATTCCACAATATCACAAAGATCCAAACGATCCAAAAGACCCAAAAAATTTCAATGGAATCCAAAAAAACCAACAACATAAAAAAAATAAAAAAAACAAAAAATCCTAATAAATAAAAAAAATTCAAAAGGATCCAAAGAAATTCAGAAGAATTCAAAAGAATATAAAATAACCCATCAAAATCCAACACCAAAAAAATAAAAAAAATCCACAAAATCCAAAAAAAAAAACAAAAAAATTCAAAAAATCCAAAAAATGAAAATATCCAAAATACAAAAAATAAAAAAATTTAACCATCTCACTAACCAAATCTAAAAAATTGAAAAAATTAAAAAAATCCAAAAAATTCAAAAAAAATCTAAAAATTCAATGAATTTACAAAATCCAATAAGTCTATAAAAACCAAGAAACTCAAGAAACTCATAAAACTCAGGAGAACCAACAACTCCAGAAATCCAAGAAATCGACAATATCCTCAAAATCCAAAAATTCGAAGAATCATAAAATAAAATAAGTAAAAAATAACAACTATTCAAAAAAGTCCAAAAACTCTAAAAAAATTGAAATTTATCAAAAAAATCTAGAAAATTCCACAAAATTCAAAAAGATGCAGACGATCCAAAACACCGAAGAATATAAAAAAAATAAAAAAACGAAAAAAACCCAATAGGTACATCCAAAAAAATCCAAAAGGATCCAAAAGAATCCAAAGAAATTCAGAAGAATCCAAAAGAATCCAACAAAATCC